ATTTTTCCGCAACAGCGCTGCGCGTGTCACAACTGATACCTCTTTTAGATCGAATAAGAATTAGGGATTCATAGAGTTATTATTATTATTTTTTTTTAGAGACGCAGAGAAACTGCTTTCCCTAACAATAAGACAATTTTAGCTTAACGTTCAACAAGTAATAAGCTCAATGAAATAAATGTAAAATCGTAGATATAGCTGACTGAGACTATTCACCAAAAAAGGTTGTGTTCCAGTAGAGTAGGCTATCTGTTAAGTACTCGCGGTTTCATCCTCGTACTTATCTTCACGATTGACGTATCGGACTGATCGGCCTGATCGGAATAGTTACTTCTGGTTTACATCACATTTCACATTACGAGCGTACCAGATTATAGAGAAAGAGTTGTGCAAACATTCCAGCTGTGTAAAGCGTCTCCATGACATTCGCAAGAGATTCTTAGGATCGTGTAGAGAAAAAAAACGTCCTAAATTGATACAGCCGCGCTTGTTTCACTCTATGCGTACAATCCAAAGCCTATAATGTTTTGTAGTTTAACTAGAAACTGATAGGATACATTCGTTATATGCTGTATATCGAGTTGATGTGTTAACGTAGAAAGATCGTTCGATCGAATCGTTAGGACAAGTTGCACTAATAATCTAATAAGAGCCAGCTTTCCTTTTGCGTAAGGAGATAAGTCGCAGAAAATTATTTTATATAACAAGCATCAATACGCTGTAAAGGACATACATATAGTTGTTGCATGTATATTCAATGGTATATATTCAATAAATAGTTTGAGACGGTACAGTGTGTCAGTATTGCTTAATGATACACTTACTGACTTACATGTATGTAAATGTATGTAGCGATAGAGGGCGGAAGAAGCTATATGAGGTATAAATTGATTAATTACAATTACGTTTCGTTTCTATGAGACAGTCGGATGATGAGTGGGTCGCGAGCGGCGACGAACGGAATAATCTCGTTTGGGCCATTCACCGTGACGATGGCGCGTTTTGTGCCGCGGCAATTCGCTTACTTCGATGGACGTCACTTTGACGTTCTCTTCACGAACGAGATTGCCAACGGTGGTCTGTGGTAGACTCGTCGTAGACTCGTCTTGTTTGTCGCGCGCGTGCGCGAGCCGCCGAGACGCTGGTCTCTTGAAAAACGTGTATTTGATCAATTGAGGCCGCGGCTGAAAAATGTTTTCCAAAGGTAACGAGTCGGAGATAACGTCGATCGGCGGTGGTGTATCAACAGCTCGCGCCCCGCCGACTCTCGTTTCGCTCGTCGCTGCAGTACTTGCATTCGTATCGACCTCCTCGAGATATATAGGTCGTTGTTTTCCGTCCAATTTTCGAGGCAATCTAGACAATCCAGGCAACGACACCTCGAGAATCGACGGCCGTTGATCCGGCGAATCTTGAGCTCCGTGCATTCCCAGCCGAGGTCCATCCTGATGGATCGTACGATCGAGATATCCCTCGAGAGCATTCCAATTTTCGAGATCGCGTGAAATCGCCCTCCTAACGAGCTTGGAAATTTCCTCGATATTCGCAACCCGCGGTTCCTCATCGTCGACGCGTATGGTCGGACGTTCGTCGGGAAGAGGCGCAAGTGGACTCGTGATCGCGTCGTAATTACGCCGAGATATTACCGCTCTCCGTTCTTCTCTCGGCAAAGTCCCCGCGTTGTCCACAACGACGAACGATTCGTTGATCGAGATGGGGTGATCCGGGCCGGTCTCGGCCGAGTAGGCGAAGCGTTCCAAGGGCACCTGAAAACTCGTCTCCAGTACCGTATTTCGGCCAAAGTAGCGTTTCTCCGGACGATCGTCGCGAGTATCCGGATAGTACGCCTCGTAGAACACCGGTCCCTCGCCCAGGTTGTAACCACCCGCGTACCTAGACCACGTATCGCGTTAAATTATCATTAATTAGATCGCGTGGTCTTCATTTGGCTAGCACCCCAGATAGCCGGTATGCTCAAGCAATGTATGGAAATAAAATGCCAGCAACTGATGCTGGCTTTTTCCTGGGAATATGAATTCAATGTTTGAGTGATTTAAGTACAGCTAGCATAATGTTAACATATTGTCGTAATTAAATGCACAGCTAAAGAGAGAGCACATCGAACAGGCATACTGTTAACAAAGAATTGGCATATATTGTTTTCAATTTTCTAACTGATATAAACATGTTATATCTATTACATCTGACCAAGCACTTAATGCTAGCATAATGTTTGAATCATGGAAATGTTTCATTTCCGACACCAAATGCTAGCAAACAACAGCACAACAAACGACATAGATGCACAGCAAGATGCTAACATTTTTCTTAGCAATGTGAAAGCAACTTAAGTGCTCACACTGGCTATCTGGGACATAAAATGAATAATCACCTAGATGTTTTCGGATTCCACATGGCGGCAGCGGCAGCGGCGACGATCGATGACACATCTATGAAAGAATTTATCCTGTAGTTTAATTACATATCAAACAAGTTGCATACGTACCTAAACAAATAGTGATTAGAATCGTTGCCAATAGTGCGTGCCTCTGACTGTGAGAAGCCATGACTCTATAAAGTCGAGCAACGACCCAGCGAACGACGACTGAGCGTCTTCTTCGTCTTCATCCTCCTCTTTTTCAAGAGAGAGAGACAGAGAGGTAGCGAGAAGGACACGTAGGCGCGTATTTTCGTAGATTCTTAAAATAAACTCCGTTTCTCTCTAGAATGTTGTTTTAGCGCCAACTCGTTAGCACGACGCCGTGTTATCTCGAGCAATTATATCGTGAATAAAGGACTTGTTTTTTCGCGATCGATAGCGAGGGAGACAAAGCCCGTACATTATGCTCGATTAATCAAACTCGAGAGTGCTGCGAATGAAACAGCTGCCGAGATGGAATCGTCGTGGCCAAGTGTCTGGTGTTGTCACGCAAGAATTTATATACACATTAGATATATTGTATATCGAGCTCATATCAGATGTAAATTTTCCAATTGAGTTGAGAAAATTGTTTAGATTTAGAGTCAGATAATCATCGATAAAGACGGCGAGTTGAGGATGATGAGTTGTGCCGAAAAACGGCGACTCTTCGACTTTTACGACGAACGAGACGAGATCCTGGCGAAATAAAGTTCCGCGAGGAACACGAGGGTGCAAGAGAACAAACCGAGCGTGAGCCCGACAAAAGTGAGAGAGTAGTGGTCCATGGTCAGTTTAATCTTCCTCTCGCTTTTGGCCACCCTTCTCCTCTGCTCGACCACGCGCCACGGATAAACCATGCGTTCGTACCAGAGATAAACGAGACCCGCCTCCTGCATCCTAAGCAATAGTCCGTTGACTCTCTCCTGATACGGCGAGTGGAGTCTCGTGACGTAGGACAGCAAGTAAGTGGTCGGGTATTCCTCGACTATGTGGAGCAGCTCGTTACCGTCGACGTCGTAGTACCTGGACATGTCGCTCAGCTTGACCGAGGCGTAACGGCTGATGGCGATCGTCCTCCTGCCGAAGGCCACGGCGGCGTAGGTGCGCTCCTTCGAGACAAACACTTGAAGCTTGCTCCGCAATTTGTTATCCAGCGTGGTGTTCCCCGTGAACGTGTTCTCCTTCAGATTGTAGTACTTGGTGATGATGGTGAAATTGGAGGCAGCGACATCCTCCAAGGTGTTCAGTTCGGGATAATGAAAGGGATCGCTCAAGCTGGACATGAGGCAACTTTGATAGAGGCCGGTGACGATGAGCCCGAAGAAGAGCGTGCCGATCAAGAGTGCTCTCTGGGCGGTTGTGCCACCGCCGGCCTTCTCCTTCAGCGGGTAACAGGAAGCTTCGACGAGATCGAAGCAGGACAAGACGTAAGGATGTATTCTCGGCGGCGATAAATCCGATCGCCGTGAGGAGGACCTCGTACTCGCCAAGGGGAGAAGAACGGCCTGCCGCCGGCGAAACGACACGCTGTAGTACGTGACGAGGAACCAGAGGACGGACACGAGAACGTTGTATACCGCCAGTGCCAGCCACAGGTCGGGCGCGAATGACATCACAGGCATGTACGATTTCGGGACGAAGCCGGCCGTGGGCGCGATCAAGCACAGCTTGTCCTCGTAAATGCCAGCTGTAAATTCGTACTTTCGATACTCCTTGTACCTTCGGTACTCCTGAACGAAGAAACTGGTGATGATCATCTCCGACTCGCCGCTCTCGATATACTGAAGAGTGTGGTGAAACGGATCTCCGGCGTCCCCGTTGGTAGAGTTGACGACGCTAAAGACATTGACACGAAACCAGGCTCCCATCGCTCGCTCCAACAGCAGCATCACGTCCGCGTCCAGTCCGCTGAATCTCGGGTTCCCCGTCGACGAAGCGGCTTCGTCGACTCGCATCATCAGAGACGGAAATACAACCACGCGTACAGGATACCCGTTCAGGTTTTCAAAGTTGGCGTACAGCTCGACGTTGTCTCGTCGGCCCGTTAGGCCGGTCAAGCAGACCTTACGTACGACGCCGTATTCGTTTTGCCGATTCTTCTCGAACGGCAGATATCTGCTCAGACATCGGAAGTCATCCTCTAGCGAAATAATGACGATCCTATAGACGCCGTACAACTTCCAGACTTTCTCAAACACCTCTCCCGGCCGAGTCGCATTCGGAGCGGTGTCGATCACCAGGTACTGATTGGGAGCCTTCCAGATGTGGCTCTGCTCGTGCACGAAAGAATTTAAAATATTCATACCGTCGACGATGAAGACCCATGTAAGATCGATGCGACTCTGCCACGTGTACTTGCGCGAAAAGTCCGTTGTCGTGATTTTGTAGCTAACGATAGACTCGCTCGCCACGTACTTTGATAAAACGTCGACAAAGCTGGACCGACCATCGGAAGAAACGAGGGAAAATATCGATGGGTGAATTGCTTGCGCGCCGTGAACGTAATTCACAATAATTCGCAAATTCTCACACATTCTCAAGTTCTCCGTCGGAAATGCCGATCTCGACAGGTACTTTCTCACCGTCATCTCGTACTTCGCTTCGTCTACTGTAGTCTCGGTACTTGGTCTCGCTGTTAACGTTGACAACGACATCAACAAATAGAAGGATATTGTTAGCGACATGTTTATTGTTAGCGGAAGCCGTCAAGCTCTTTCAAAACGTGCCTCAAACTGTGCCGGTGTTCCGCGGGATTCGCTTCGCGCGAACAGTGATCAACGCCGGAAAGTAAGGCGAGTAAGTGACTTTTATACAGATGGCACGGGTCGACATACATAGTTAATAAGAAATACATATACGTATATGTTAAAGGAAGGTGGTGTCGCGCGCGCTACCACGGTAGATAGGAATCGTGATGCCTAGATAGAAGTACGGAGGATTAATCGCGGCACAGGGAGGGAGCATCGTTAGCGTCGTTTCAAGCTCCGAGTAGTATTTTATTGCATTTTCACGAGCTGAAGCTTGTCAATACTAATTGTCGTGATTAGTGAGCATCATTACGACGCTTCGTAGTCGCGTGAAATTGAAAGAGGAGACTTCGTAAATCACTCGCTGCGATAGCGACCCGAAAAAAAGAAGAAGAAAAGAGTATTAAAGTCAAATTTATCATCGTCGCGAAATGATGATCGACCATTTCTTCCAGGAAGCTCGCAATTTACCCATCTTCGTTTTATCTCCGTTGTTCCTCCTCGCGCGTTAGAGGAACGACGTGAGAATACGAGGTAGCTGGACAGCCATCCGAGCTAGCGTCATATCTTTTGCGTTCTAGCGAGAGTTCCATTAACGGAATCGACAGCGAGTGGTATATTTGCTCTTGTACGTACACTTCCTCTGCAAAATATTCAAGCAATGTCATATACCATTGTAGCCACGATCCGGAGTTTATTCAGACGGTGCCATACAATTTCAAACTTGGAGAGAAATTGATACGATGCCGATGAAGCGATGGTGAAGGGATAAGCGACCGAGGAATAACTAGTCCGCTACGTGAACTCGCTTAGCATTTGTCCGCTACTATAGTCTACTAGAAATCGTTATCGTCGTTACCGTCTCATTCCTTTTCTCAGTTCCCAATGTTTACCTCGGGTAAATTGAGCAAACGTTTACTCTTCCCCTCGTCAAGTTGCCGACACGTCATTAAGTTAAAAGCTTAGTTATACGACGCAATGATTCTCGCGCGAATGCAAATACCAGTGCTAGTTTCCGTTACGAACGAAAACACATTCTACTTCCTCGTTTCCATCAAATTTCTATTATTATCGCGAACTGGTACAACATACGAGCGCGCGAATGTGCCTGCAACGGGAACAAAGTGTTACTCGCAACGTGTCATTGTCTTATCGTCAAACTCGAGGTGAAGCCTTAAACCTGACTAATTTGTTTCTTGCAGAAATGTCTCGAATGAGTCACAACGGAAAAAAAGTCGGTGACAAGAGTGTATTAGCTTTTTAAAGCGCACGTAAAATCGAACGGGAAACGAGAGCGATATAGGTTTATTTTGATCGAGCCTTATCCATAATCTGAAGAGCGCAATATATGTGTTGATGCCGCTCTTATAAACATAAAAGCATTAAAAGAGCGAGCACGATCGAAGATAGACGTGCCCAAAGTGATGTGACACGATAGTCGAGGGACGCGATAGAGAAGGGAAAAAGAGAGTGAGGCTAACGATAAGGGTGAGTGATGTACGATTTGACTGTACATAACGAATGAGAACGTTTGTATGGGGAAAAAGTTGAAGTGATCCAGCGTCAGTGTTAAATCGCATAAATAAGGGAGCGCTCGTGAGTCCCTTGAGATTCGCAAACATGGTACGTTGACACATATATCTCTCTCTCTCTCTCTCGTCACGTAAATTCAATCGCCTGCAAATGATTCGCCAATTCGCGACATTATTAGCTCTTCTGCATGCAGTATCGAGCAGCGATTGCCGATGGCATAACGCTGCGGAATTTTGGAGCAACGTCATTTGCTCGATGAAAGACATTAAAACCGTGAATTTCCACGATGTGCTCGAGAGTGGCGCGAGTTCGATCTTCCTCGAGCAATGCTTGCAGGCTTTCGTACACGATATCGCGCGCAAGTGCGAGGCAACGATCGTATCAAGGATTCATGCGCTTCGCAACACGGAAAATGCTGCATCTCTCGTCGCGAGTAACGACGAGCGAGCTGACAGAGATGCAAGGTACGCGAAACGATCGTCGATCTGGAAGATTGCATCCGGTGACGCGCTTACTTGTAATCGAGTAACGCCGTCGAATAACGCAGCCGGAGAGACTCTGGTACGGAACGACGGGAGCTTTGATAGAGACACGTGGAACGTGCACGTAATTCTCACGAGAGACATACGTTCCTTCGATCAAATCTCGAGGGATGATGCCACGACTTTCAAGTGGAATTCACACGATCGATTTATCGTCCTGATCGCACGCTACCCCGAAGAGCATGGACTGTCGGACGAGCCCGACTCGAAGATCGACGATATCTTGAGGACGTTGTGGTCGAGACGCAAGGTGCAAAAGATTTTTGTCTCCGAGGCGATTCTCGCAGAGGACACCATTCGAATTGTCCGCACTTACAATCCGTTTGCCAAAGCCAACGATTCTGGTGATTCCTACGTCTCTAATTGTAAGTAAAGACTCTGTAAGAAAGATTACCGGTGAAATCGCTCGACACAATAAAACAATTCATATTCCGGTGTATGTACGCGTAGAAAAGGGTCTGCTCTGTGATTTCAGTGTGGGGCGAGGTCGAAATTATCAATGTGAAGACGGCGGAAGAGGCGTCAAGCGTGCTGTCGCAGTTGACATCTCGTCGTACGAACAATCTGAATGGATACGAATTAAAAGTGGGCTACTTTATGCGAGGCGAAACGCTCGCAGAACCGACGAAAGACCGATCAAATCAGGATTATGCCGGCATCTTCAAGGGATTTGACGAGCTACTGCTGAATACGATAGCACGAAGCATGAATTTTCAAGTAGAACACGTACATCCGTCGGATAACAAATCATTTGGCTATCGATTACCCAATGGGACATACGTCGGTGCTATAGGTACTTACGTCACGTAATACGATATTTCGAACACCCTGGTGTTCGCAAGTATAATTGCTGTTATAGTTTGTTTGTTGTCGTTGTTGTTGTTGCCGTTGCTTTTTCCGTTTGAATATCCGATAATACAACAGCCAGCTTACACAGGCGACATAGTGCACGGTAGAACGGACATCTGCTTCGTGCCTTTCTTCGTAAAGAAATACAGCACGAATCCCAAGGAAGACGTAGACTTTAGCGCGTACGTGGACTTTGACAGATTATGCGTGGTGGTGCCTAAAGCAACCAAGATACCCAAAGGGATTCGAATATATCACTTCTTCCCGCTCTCGGTTTGGATCTGCTCGATGCTGACGCACGTTTTCACCTATCTGACATGGTACTTTTTGCAAGTATTTACTCCAGGAAGGTACAGTAATCGTCTCTGCGCGCGATATTTCCAACGCCAATTACTCATCTCCGTGCGACGAAGATAAAGCAAGAGCTACATCAGTCTATTGACTTTCAGGACAGGAAAGAAAAGCTTCCGCGCGACCATCTATCGGTCGTTTCTGCTGAACGCTGGTTGCCCGCAGAAATTACCAAACACAAACGCGGAAAGGATATTACTGTCGGGCATTCTCCTCGCTAACGTCACTCTAGTTGGAATCTTCAGCGGTATCTTGTACAACAGTTTCGCGCACGACATGTACTATCCAGACATCGACAGTCTTCGCGATCTCGACGCTTCGGGATTGCCGGTACTCTCGACTTCCGCCAGTCTAGGCGATCTCTTCGACGACAACGGCGACGTCTACTCGACGTCGCTCATGCGAAGCCTGCGAAAGAAGATGCAATTAACGCCGGATGTACACACCCTGAGCCGCGTGGCTCGTCATCGCAACGCTTCGGCGTTCGCCAGGGAAAGTCATTTCCCCATTGTCATCGAGGACTTGATCGACGCGGACGGTGGGCCGTTGCTTCATCTCGTTGAAGAGTGTCCAGGTAGACGAGTGAATATAATTTTCCCTTCTTATAACTTATTGCAACACGTATATGAATATATACACGCGCACACACACGTGTCCTAGGTAAATTCTACTTGTCGTACTTGCTGCCCAAGAATTCCATTTTAAAGGAGAAGATAAACGCATTGATCAGCCAATTGAACGAGGCCGGCTTACCATCCTTGTGGAGCCGACACATCGTTCACGCCTTCATTGTTCAAAAGCGGTCACTGGCGAGAGAAAAGTCGGCCCGAACCGGAAGGAAAATGGACGGCTTCGTGCCGTTCAATCTGTCTGACGTGCAGTCGTCCTTTTATATGCTACTGATAGGATTATCGATATCCACGATAGTATTTTTTCACGAGAAGGGTTGGCTGAAAGCGCCATTGTTGCACAGTGAAAAACCAAGCTGTACATTCACGCGTTAGTTTGTTTTTCCGTTTCCGGAAGAAAAAGAAGAATGACGATATTGCTCCCAATATTTTCATACTTGTTGAGTTAACGTTATTGAGAAAAGAATAGATATGTAAGCCGGTTAATCAACGATAATTGTGTTGATAAGGAAAAGTGCTGGAGGGCAAAATTACATATATCCTATTTCTACATTAATTATCCTTAGTCGCGTTAGCACCTGTAATGAGCTTAACAAGCGCGATTCGAAGCGAGCATACGCGTTTCACATACACGTGCGAGCGCTCTCGCACACACCATTATAAATCATCGACGTCCTGCGCGCAGACTCTTTTAGAGGAGGAAAACGTCGAGGGGGAGTAAAGGATGCTCGCCAATTTTCGCCAGTAGCACCAGCTGAGTCTACTCGTGGTAGTGCGCTGTGTTGCGGTAACCTGTTGCCCAAGTGAGCTCTGGATGGACGCGGATGCCACGGTGCCGCGACACAAATCACTCGATTCACGCCACGTAAATGTGTACGAATGCGTATACGCAAGTGAGCATGTGTGCGAGCGCGTAAGACAGTCTGATTGTGAGTAGTTTGCCTTGCACGAATATATCAAGTACACGCATATTCGAGACACAATGATATCATTTCTCCCAGATTTCCCAGATTTCTTCCACGTCAATAAGCGAGGAAAAGGGCGCCTCTCTAAGAAAATGGGCAATCCATCGGAAACTGTCGCGTGCTCGTATCAACTAAATTAAATTAAATCAAATTAAAATTCGAGCAATGTCTCCTTTCTTTTCGTAACTTTCCGACAATCCCGACGAGTAAATATTCAAAAGCTGATAAATGCAAATTGCAATTCGGTCAAGAATTAACCATTAGCAATGAAACAATTGAACGCGAGTTAGGCATAGTTGTTGCGACATGAAATGATAATGGATCGATGATAATATCGGAACATCATGATGCAAAATCGGTAATAACCGACTATACACCACCCCGTACGTATCGTCGTACTTCCGAGACCGCTGGCAATTTTGCGACAGGCGTGATATCGATGATTATGCAGAATTACACGGACCTCTTCCGCCGGCTGAATATAACCGAGGAGGATATCGATTACGCTAACAGTCTCGGCATCGACGGCCTCGCCGGCCGTAACGATAACAGATTTGGGAGCCGCGATGGCGAGCAAGTCTCCAGAGATGGAAGCGACCGCATCGAGACGACACAGCTGGCGTCCTCGTGTTACTGCGAGGGTGTGATTCGCGATCTGGCGACGCAATACAAAAATTACCACGGTTACGCTTCTCTGGTCGTGTGCTCCTTCGGCACGTTCACCAATATGCTAAATATCATCGTACTTACGAGACAAGACACGAAGACTGCGCCGATTAATCGAATTCTCACGGGGCTGGCTACGGCCGATGTACTGGTAATGTTGGAGTACATTCCTTTTGCGATTTACAAGTATCTCGTGCTACCGGAACGCAGGATATTTCCATACGGATGGGCCGTGTTCGTGCTGTTCCATATGCATTTCACGCAACTGTTTCACACAATCAGTATCGCCCTGACGCTCACTTTAGCCGTTTGGAGGTACATCGCTATCAGGTGAGTTTGTACACGCTGCTCGGGCGTTGAGAAAGAAGATATGCCAAAGTCGTTTCCGCTTCTCTCTGCCAGATTCCCGCAGTACAGTCACACCTGGTGTACCGGGAGACGTTGCACGATCGCTCTTTCCTGCAGTTTCTTCGCTCCGCTTCTCACTTGCGCCCCAAGCTATCTTGTGTTCGGAGTAAGTAGATTAATTCGATTATATAGCTCGCAGTCCGTGTCTGTCCTAGTCTTGTACCAAATTGTCCCAAACAGCCCCCCACGATTGGCGCGATAAAAATTTCAATTTTCTTGCGTCAGATAAAAACGCAAACTGTTTACGAGAACGGCATCGCGGAAGTATTGTATCACGTGGACGCCGATTATTCCATCGATAAAGGCTTTCTGTATCAATTAAATTTTTGGATACTCGGCGTAGTCGTTAAGCTTCTACCATGCGTCCTTCTCACCGTCATCATCTGCTGGCTAATAAAAATCCTTTACAGGTAAAATGAGACAAAGTTCGGCCAAAACGACTTTGCTTACTTTGCTTACTTTTACTCTACGTAGTACGTTACGTTCGCACTCACTACCATGCTACCGTGTTACGATATTCGCCCAATTTCTCGCTCTTCATTTAGGACGAAAGGTAGAAAACGGACTTTAAAGAGCTACAGCGACTGCGCTGTAAAAGTTGCCAAGCCAACCGGCTTGTCCGGAATCCCGGATCTCGACAATTGCAACGAGGCGTTTGATAATAATAAAAAGGATGGATATCCACGGAGGACAAGTAAATCTGACAAGCAAACAGACAGAACGACGAGGATGCTTGTAGTGGTGCTGTTGCTGTTCCTCATGACGGAAATCCCTCAAGGCATCCTCGGCTTACTCTCCGCGGCTCTGGGCGATTGCTTCTTTCGTAATTGTTATCACAAATTCGGAGAGCTGATGGATATCTTAGCGCTATTAAATGGCAGCATAAACTTTATCTTATATTGCTCCATGTCGCGGCAATTTCGTATGATTTTTGGACAATTGTTCAAACCCAGAATTATCAACAACTGGTCAATGATAAACCAGCATCAAACCGATGTACAAAGCACATATGTTTAACGGAAGTTTGCAAGTCATTTCATGAAATATTCTCGAAATTATTTTAAAACGTATATCAAATGTAATTCACAAGTATATATATATATATATATAATGTCTTACACAAAATTTCTGCAATATTAGGTACATTATAAATCAAATATATGCGCGACGTGTATGGCGTGCAAACTCTTTTGATTCAAATAAATTTCATAAATACGTGTTTCCCTTTGCGCGCACGAGCGCACAGTCAACCTCTTTACAGGAAATTTTGTAATTTTATCTCGTTACAGTCTCGATAGAGCCTGCAGTACGCAATCTATGTATCTTTTCGAGACGAATAGATAAATAAATAACGACATGTAATTAAAGCCAAGTTTAACAAGCTTTTCATTTAACAAGATATTAAAATTATTTTACTGAAGAGTATACGCTTACATTTGGACTCTAGAATTGCGTACGCGTACGATAAATAAATAAATGCGGTACATATAATTTATCATAAATTATGTTTATCTCTCTCAATACTTTAAGATTATTACCGTACTATAAAATCCCTGTGGATAAGACACTATCGCGTGACGAGAGACACGAAAGGTGAATTTTAAACTTCGTCAGCGCTCAATTTGCGCCGTGTTTCATATTCCTCCATTGGTATTTCCTGATTGGTGCTTGACTCTGTTTTCTCACGTTGCAATCTCTTTGACAGCTTCTTTGCCATTTGCGATATCTATATACGTCGTGATATACAATTGTATTATATAAATAATACACCGAGAAAGTACCGTAATGCGTACTGTTTAAGTATTACCTGCGCATCAACCTCAACGACAGCCATAATGTCGTTGAGCGCTGTTAAAATTTCAGTGGCATTAGCTTGTTTGCCGCGAGCATCGAGTACGACAGCATAATTAATCAATATTAGCGGATCCTGAGGAGCTAACGCGTGTGCTTTCGTCAGTGACCTTTCGGCGCCTTCCAGATCATCCAAACGTTTCAAAGCCACTGAGATAAAAATACAGATTTTTACTACAAAGCACACGCGTAAAAGAAATACGTAAATATTTTTAAGCGAAATGTATTCTATTTGACTATTGACAGTAAAACTCTCGTGTTTTATTTAAAACGTTTTTCAAAACTCGTTGCCTCCCATTCGAAAATGGACTAACAATAAAGCGGATAACAGCCCAGATAGCACAAAGATGAACATAAGTTCATAGAGAATTCATTTTAAAGAAAACATACAGAATTAAAAAAATGAATATCTGAAGAATTCTTGAAGAATTAGTCTCAATCAGTTCGTCTTGAAGTATTCTTCTGAAGTTCATTATAATGAATACTTCGCGATTCAGTACTGTGAATACTTTAAGAATTTATGAGGAATTATTTGTCATGCGCGAGTATCCGCTAACCGCCATCCGGACGTTCTTGTGCAGCGTGTTACCACGTGCAATATTTTGTGTGCGTAACGTTATGTGCAATTAATTTTGTGCAATAGTTCTATTGTGTAAAAGAAAGAATCGAACGACGAGAACCGAAACGGAAGAATCATCCGATTGTCAACGAGTTTCGGTTGAGAGTATCTCACTGTTGAGTGAGAAATTATAATAATGGTGTAATGTTACTGCATATTAGATGTGTACATACATTGGGTAAATATTTTGTAATCCTCTTTGTTCTAACACTATTCCCCTTGAATTCATAAAGTTTACATTTATTGAATTCGAGATGAATACTTTAAGAAGTTGTCAGGAAAACGATTTATGGTGCATGTAACTTCCTCTGTCACTCTTATTGTATTCTTCTATGAATTCCTAAAGAATTACAATTCAGAAAAAAGAAAACTTAAAGAATACTTTGTGAATTCAGTGTGCTATCTGGGAGTGAGCACAGCCTTCTCAACTTATTAAGACTTGAATTAATTTTTTCTACTTACAACCTAATAACAGATACGGCATACAATTCTTTGGTTCAGCGCTAACTGCAGCGCATAGATAGATCGCGGCTGACGCAGGCTGTCCAGTGGTGAGAAAAACGATTCCTAGATTGCAGGACGGGATGCAAGACATAGGGCTCAAGTAATGCGCTCGCTTCAACGAACTAATAGCCTGCGCAATATTGCAAAAGAATATTTTAATGTCTCCTTCTCCCTCGGTAATAATCCAAATGTTTCCCTTTTCGTTTCCAAAAGAGTATTTATGCAACAACACGAATTTAACTCGAGAACAAAATGATTGAATCGTTATATTAAATATCGCGTCGGAAGTACGGGAGTATCCTTTAGTATTAATAATAAAAAGTTGTTTCTGTGTATTCCTCTGTTATCTCCCGTGATACAAGACTGCCTCCGACGCAAATTCGACGCTATCCAAAGCATTTTCGAGATACAACATGGAATATCACGCAATACTGCTACGTCTGATTTTCCGGTATATTCGCAAGGGATTCCTCTTTGTGCGTCGGAATCTCCGCGGGGCAGCAAACGCTGCCGAGCAGCAGCTACTGTCTTATAAATAAATCGCATATCCCGTTTCCCCAAACGTGCCACATTCGATAAACGGTAGCACGCGAGGGGTGATATTTGCGCTACTCTGTATCAAAGCATTGATACCTGCTGATCACTGGACTGTGAGCTCTTTAGTAACCAGACCCAACTGAACGTTATCGCGTATCATTTCACACGCTTTGAATAACTCGATAGCTCGCAGTAGAACAAGTATACGAATAAAAGTTGATTCCCTTCCCCTTTTCATTTCTAAAGGAAATATCTCTTTTACATCTTGATATTATACTTGTTGACATTATGTACGTTAGTCCCCTTAACGAGTATTTATGTTATTGTAACTGTATTATCGTGCTTCAATCAAGTAGAAGCCACACAAGATACAGACAAAGACAGAGAGGAGTAGACTCACCGCAACATATTTTTGTTTTGCGTAGAGACACATTCCAATGTTATTCCAAAGGGTTGAAGACTCTGGAATGGTTTGCGCCGCAACTTTATATTTCGATAAAGCCACATCGTACTCTCGGTGATTCTGAAAAATAAAATGTACGTCCATATGCGAAGCAATTTAATTAAATTCCCTTTTAAATTCACGCACTTGCATTATGTAAGCCATAGGTAAAATTGCCTTGACGCAATTGGGTGAATGAGCTAAAGCCGCTCCAAACTGCTGGAATGCCCGTTGCGTATCTCCGATTCTAAGATACAGGAGACCCAGTTCTGTCGCTGCATCGATGCTCTGGGGATTCCCGCTGTGCATAGAGAAAGGATAGTCGAAAGGAATAAAATACTTGGGAGATAAAATGAGAGAGAAAGAACGTTGCTCACTTTAAAGCTGCCGTATAAGCATTTCTAGCCTCTGGAATCATATCGTCTAGGAGATAGAGTCTCGCGAGATCGATATTGGGCAATTCACTTTTCGTTAATTCTGTTGATCTTTTGATATGTTTTTTGCCCTCTTGTAACTGATTCAATTTCACGTAAGCCTCGCCTGGGTGGAGCAAAACAAATCATTCCGTTTATAAATGGACAGACAAGTGAACGGGAGGGGTTTGCATGCTCAAAGTTTTCAAAAGTTGTCAAAGTGGAGCTAAGCTACATCTCCTGGATAAAATGCATTTCTGGTATGTGCATCTGCAAGTTTATAAAACTTTGCTAATGTGCGCCACGCAAAGTAAACCGCGTAGCGAGATAACTTGCCGAGGCCATGGTATATTTCCCAGTCTGGTAAAAGGGATATCTTCTCAGCTTCCATATATGCGTCTATCGCGCGTTTGTGACTGCCCATGATTAATCTAAAAATTACCGTGTTTTTAAAATTTATTACTATATTACTTACAGTTTCCCTTCCGTATCACTTACAGCGATTTCGCTATCTGTTTAACATTATCAAGGTTTGTCGAATTGACATTGTACGCGGTCTGAAAGCAATCCAGGGAATCTTGAATCTTGCCTTCCTTTCTGAGAATTAAGCCCTACGAGGACGAGAAATATGTATACAGGGTGAGTACAAAGTACCGGACCGGTGAAATATCTCAAATATGGGAGATACGGAAAAATGTTTCAGACAAAAGTTGTACGGTTTTAAAAGGGCTATATAATGGTAAAATTAATTTTTTATGGTTATATGGAGGTCGCCGTCAATTTTTTTAATTAGGAACTCCCTATTGTTTATTATGCTATCTTATTCTACTATAATTAATATATGAACAACTTTTGTCTGAAACATTTTTTTATTCGCCTAATACTTTTTGAGATATTCAAGAGAAAATTTATAACTTTTTCAATGTTTAGCTTATAATCTCTCGATAATGTTTGTCGGAGGGAAAAGTAGTACAGGACTTTTTTACCTGATTTAGTCTCAGGATTATACTGTTGCAATGGTTTATGTATTGTAACATATAAAATTTACATACACAAAATGTTCAATAATTGAAATACCATTGCAATATAGCATATTCCTTTTCCCTCCGACAAACAGTTATCGATATATTATAAACAAAACGTTGAAAAAGTTGTAAATTTTCTCTTGAATATCTCCAAAAGTATTAGGCAAATCAAAAAATGACGAAAGTTGTACACGTTAACTAATTGAATAAGATAGTATAATAAACAATAGGGAGTTGCATTTCAAAAAATGACAGCGACCTCCATGTGACCATGAAAAATTAATCTTCGTCGAAAATTTATTTTACCATTATATAGCCCTCTTGAAACCGTACAACTTTTGTCTGAAACATTTTTCCGTATCTCCCATATTTGTCGAGATATTTCACCGGTCCGGTACTTTGTCCTCACCCTGTATATAGTCCGACGCGATGTATACTTGATCTCACCTTCAAGTAATTGGCGTATTCATGAGCGTTCGATTTGGTCAATTCCTGCTCGATGAGTAGCTTGCAAGCGCTGTACTCGTGTCTCGTGTAATGTCGATGTAACAACCAATTGCGACTCTCTATAGCTGGGATGTCTGGTGCTGCGGCCAACAAACAAGCTCTCTATAGCCGGTACGTCGGGTAAGAAACGACGTAAGAAAGTGACGTTCTTAATACATCACTTCGAGCATCTCCAGTAATGTAAGAATAATTGTTTTTTTACTACTTTATTAATGCCAAATGACCTTGTAATATACACAGTGTATTCAAAAAGTTCCAGGACTGGTCGCACACAGATCAAACAACGCCATGTATTGACTCCTCTTTAATATCAAGCTTCTACATAGTCTCCCGCCAATTCGATACAACGCTTAGAACGAATCTTCAGGTCCAATCGCCTTCTGGAACGCCTCCACTGGAATATACTGTTCAGTTCCTTTGTCACCGCCTTTTCAATCGCCTCTACTGACTCATATCGGTGTCCCTTCAACTTCAATTTTAGCTTGGGAAACAAAAAATAGTCTGGGGGAGGGACAGATCAGGTGAGTACGCAGGGTGGTTGATGCTCACAACTTGCCTTTTCGTCAAAAACTCCTGTACGATAATGGACTTGTGAGCCGGTGCATTGTCGTGCAACAGCCACCACTCTCCGCTCTCCAACACTTTTGGCCTCACACGTCGCATTCGTTTTAAAAGTCGTTCCAACTCACTTGATCTGTCCCCCCCCCCCCGACTATTTTTTGTTTCCTAAGCTAAAATTGAAGTTGAAGGGACACGGATATGAGTCAGTAGAGGCGATTGAAAAGGCGGTGACAAAGGAACTGAACAGTATATTCCAGTGGAGGCATTCCAGAAGGCGATGATGGACCTGAAGACTCGTTCTAAGCGTTGTATCGAATTGGCGGGAGACTATGTAGAAGCTTGATATTAAAGAGAAGTCAATACATGACGTTGTTTGATCTGTGTGCGACCAGTCCTGGAACTTTTTGAATACACTGTGTAGGTCATAGGAATTGTCTCAACGTCCACTATTGCATCAAGGATAAAAAAGTATAGCATGCCGTTTAAAAAAATTGAGATGACCTTGAATCCTTTGAAGCGCCTCCACCCAAAAAAAATTGTCGTTGGCATATTATAGCGCTCTTCACGCCTTGTGTAATTAAAATATTTTGATATCTCAAAAAGTAGCGGAGATATTCCAGGTGATCAAAGTTCTTGCCCCACCCTGTATATCATAGATACCTCGGTTGCTTCGGTCGTTTCTCGTTCGTTGTACAACGATATTTTCCCGTAAACGACCGTTGCTGAGAATGTCATTTGCCATTACCGTGGCGAGATGAAGGACGATTTCTCTTTGAGCTTCGAGGCGCGCTTGGCCTCGTGCGAGAATTGTGTTTTGTAAATTTCATCGCCATGGCAACTTTCGCGCGCGCGCGCACGCGACGCTGATCGCTGCGAGAGATCGATTCGAACGATGTCACTAGCGACACACGCGCGCCAAATTCAAATGTATCGCAGTTCAAATCGAAAGACTTACGACACCTACGACACTACGCGCGCGAGCTTCCGCTGTGGTACGTGGAGATCGGAAGGAATTTGCGCCGCACGTCCGAAACTTAGGATTAGCCGAGCGCGTTGAAGAAATGAAAACCGTAAAGGCCACGTATCGCTCGGTACGTGACACACGGATGCTTATCAAGCGCGATAGCGCTAACGAAGCGGACGCACCTGTTATCTTGGCCGTTATCACTAGCGCTCACATATACGTACTGCGGTTAACTGTGGTTAACTGTGGTAGGCGGACGACGCGGCGGCGGCATAGAGCGTAATCGCTGCACGCACCAACGCGACCAGCAGCACGACCGACGGTGTCGCACACGAATCGAGCGAAAACCGACACGAGACTCGCTGGCGAGAGAGAGCGATGTGATGCGGGGGATCAACGTCGTCGGCCGAGGCCGGGGCCGCAAGCCGCTAGCCAACAGCCGGTTAGGTTAGGTTAGGTGTTCTTGTCGGTGTGTGCCGTTGAGAAAAAAAATTCGAGTTTCGCTTATCGCTCTCTTTCACACCTGTTAATGCGAGCGGAGGCCCTCGCATTGTCAATTCTCGCTTATCAGAGACGAACAGACCGCGAGTGGCGCGCGAGTATCAGCCTCCCTTTTCCACCTGGTGATAAAATTATTACGGAGGCTCTCCAAGCGACGCGACGCGCGACGCGACGGAACGAAGGGAGAAAGTGATGTAATTTCTAATCGTAACAATTCCCCACGACGCTAATTTCATCGGTCTGTCCGTCACCGTGCTGTGATAGCCCGGAATGTTGCGTAGCTTTGCAGGAACAATGTTGTAAAAGAGAGAGGGATGATGAGCTGTTCCGTGGAATTACGCCAACGTAGGCAACAGGGGATGGCGGAGGATCCTCACAAGCTCGCGGCGATGATGAATAAATCTCAAAGACTCGTACTGGGACTTTTAGTTTTATTACTGGTTGATATAATATGGGTCTCCAGTTCCGAGCTCAGCAAAGTAAGAGCAACTTTCATCTCTCCGCCTTGCCCTCTCGGCACTCTTGCTATACCGTCTTCACTGTATTGTGTTTCAGTACATCTACAGGAACGAAACGTTTGAGAAGCCATTTTTTAGTACGTACGTAAGGACGTCTATGTTCACCCTTTATTTGCTTGGCCTCTGCTTCTGGCCACCCTGGCGGGAACAATGCAATAAACCTGCAACGTATATGGTAATTCGTCGCATAATATAAACAAATTTGCACTCTTCCCCCTTATACACGTTTTACACTTGATTCCAGTTCATAGATCCCAATGTTGAAGATGACAACTTTTACTCGGAGGCCAATACAAGTTTAGTGAGTGTAAATCTTGATTTGTAACGTGATTTGTCGAAAGAGTTGAGAATAAAGCAAGTAATTTCGTAGAGCGATCCAACGTTTGTTCCAATCAAAACTCCGGACCATTGCGACCGTTCGTCAGGCACGGAAAGCGACGACTCGTCCATTCGCTCCGTAAGATTCAGTAAATTGGCGGAGGTGCGCCACATGTCGGAGAGCGATGCCACCGAGGCTCTGTTGGCACGGCTCAGCTACCAAGCGAGTGTTAGAGCTGGAGAACACGCGAGGCGGCAAGCGAACAAATTTTCTGTACAAAAAGTAGCCAAGATAGCCCTCATGTTCTGCTTATTTGTGGGTAACGCTATGTGTACGTTGTGTCGAGTCACCCGGATCTACTACTAATCCCCCAGTCCCTTCTGCCTTCTTCTAGTGGTTCATGGCAAATTATACGTATCAGATATCATTGGAGCAAACTCAAGCCAGAATCGTTAACGTATTGTCTTCAACGTCCAGCTTGTTCACTTTGTTTCTCGCCGCTTCCTTCCCCAGTAACGGAGGAGATAAGTTTACGCTATCGAAATTAGCCGCTGTGGTCGTTAGCATCTTCGGACTGGTAAGTCTACTAATTGAACGGAACGATTCGAAACTCGTGAGTTGTATACATGTCCAATAATAGCTTGAGAAACGCTTGACTTACAGGTATTGGTCGGCATTTCGGATTTAAATCTAATAGAAAGTGATAATATGTCAACGGGCATAATATTGGCTCTAGTCAGTGCTTTTTTCTATGCTGCGTACATAGTATTTTTAAAGAGGAAAGTAGATCACGAAGACAAGATGGATATACCAATGTTTTTTGGCTTCGTGGGAATATTCAATTTAACACTTTTGTGGCCTCTATTCTTTATTCTTCATTATGGCCATTGGGAAGAGTTTGAGTGGCCCAACAGCCATCAGTGGACATTCCTAATTATAAACGGTCTAATTGGTACTGTTCTGAGCAAAGTTCTCTGGCTATGGTAATATATGCCAATGTCGTAACTTGATGTCATTACGGCAATGGCCCTTGTGTAACCTAAAGCCTACGTATCTACCTACAGGGGCTGCTTTCTCACGTCGTCTCTCGTAGCAACGATGGCCGTAAGCTTAACAATGCCCATGTCGATGATAGCCGATGTTCTCTTGAAAAAAGTTGAATACCCTTGCATTTTCTATCTGGGAAGTATTCCAATGCTCCTGGCATTCCTCACGGTATCTCTTTTATCTTACTACGACAATTGGGATCCTGTTATGGATCTAATAAAAAGATTTTTCATCTGGATCTGCAGGAGAAACAACAGATCTGCGAGGTAAATGCCACCATATAAATGTTATTACGATAAAATGTCAATTTCGCCAAAGTTGTTACATGGAAGATTGATATTTTCAGGCTGCCAGATCTCGAGGCAGAGCAAACCGAGTCTTTGATAGGAATAGACAGTGGCGATCATGAAGCTTAATACGAGACAATAATGAGAGAGAATTGGACAACATCTCGTGCATACCCATCTTCATTTAGATTCCCTCTCAATCTCACTGTCTCAATCTTGTTTTACATCTTGTGGCGTAAAGTAACGATTAAGTAACGATCTTACTTTCCCCATATATCGCTTTATTCCGCACGGAACATCACAAAATGATATTACTGCCTGACAATAACGCGATTGCGAGTCAATTTATGACAAACGCAATTAACATGCTTTATTTGTTCGTGGTCATTGTGCATTTCAAACTACCTCTTTACATTCATTCCTACTGTTTTCATCAATTACGCTACATCCTACCAAGAAATTCAGTGTCTTTACCGAAATCTGTACATACTATGTAATAAGAGTTGATGAAAATCAAACAAGTATTCATTTATATGACTATACTTTTCACTAAACAGTAATATTTTTTATGCTATTAAAGCTTTGTATCACTGATGATTAATCAACGACTCTGCTGCATGGTAAAAGTAACGTTTTCACAAACGGAGCACATCCAGTGCGTTCTGTACTTATTGTTTTTAGTATTTGGCTGATTTTAGACAAAGTATTACAAGTGAGATATAGTTTTAACAAGTAAGGGTTATACATATATATATTATATATATTATACAGGGTAGGCCATTTTAATCTACGCACTGAAATTTCTCAAAATCCATAAGTTTAAGACAAAAATGTTTCGAACAAAAGTTGTATGGTTTCGAGGGGGCTATAATAGGGTACCATTGGTTTGACCTTGAAGAGTTATTTGAAGGTTACGGTTAATTTTTTTAATGGAACACCTATATATTTTTGCATATTCTTGTAGCCTACCTCGAGAGCTTTCCAAAACACTATAATAAAATGTTTTTTCGTAAAGTACTTTTTGAGTTACAAAGCTTGAAAGTAACAGTACCGCCGGCATTAGTATTACCCAAGGTATACCACGTGGAGGTTGCGCGGATCGGAACTGCACCCACAACAGCCGACATTATTCTGTGCATAAAACTATTAAGAAAAGATAATCAAAAAATGAATATTTTATGAGATATTTAATAATTTATGTCAAAATATTGGAACCATCAAGCTTTACAACTCAAAAAGTTCTTGATAAAAAAATATTTTATTACAGTGTTTTGGAAAGCTCTCGAGGTCAGCTACAAGAATATGTAATAAAAAATAGGGGATGCCATTTAAAAAATTGGTGTGACCTCTATGTGACCTTCAAATAATTCTTCAAGGTCAAATCAATGGTACCCTATTACGGCCCCCTCGAAACCATACAACTTTTGTCTTAAACTTACGGATTTTGAGAGATTTCAGTGCGTAGATTAAAATGGCCTACCCTGTATATACAAAGGGAGTGCTAATGCTTTGGACCAATTAAAAATTTCATGATAGTAAAAGAGCAAGTACGTCGTCAGTAGAAAGTATAGAATCAATGACGTGAGATCAAAGTTTTGTATTCGGCAAAAATAATGATTCATTGTATATTTGGAGCGTCTAGTCATGGCACATCTATCGACTCGTCATTTCGCTATTAATTTCAGCAGCGATTTAGATAACTGACATTCGCCTTTTCCTTCCAGCTTCGATAATTAATACACGCACAAGTTTCACTATGTTGTGTTCAACAAATGTTAACAAAAAAATTTAGATAAGATAGATGTGTAAAGCGAGTATCGTGATAACTGTGAGATAAACTGTTTATCGCTCTCAAAATTCTGTATCGGGACAGATGTTGATTACTCGAAAAGATGGACAACTGTCAAGTGGAATAAGGTGCACCCACCGTACTTTCTCGTAGTCGTAAAATTTACATCTCGCGTCTCTTGTCGTAAACGATCATGTCCGACATTTTTGAAGAATTGATATACATCTCGACTGATCTCAATTCAACTAAATGACGCGTTGCACCATGTCGTATTTTTATTACATTTCCCGATTTTGTAAATTGTCTTGGACATTATATATTTACGCTGTAGTAGAGTATCGGGGAGAGACTTCGTAGAAAGGGAAAGAACGTTTTAAAAAGGAAACGACATCTTCGAGGAGGAAAGGGCAGTTGCAATGTTAGATTAATGAACGCGTAATGTGATAAAAGAGGGAAAAAAATGTTGCGCAAACCTTATACCTTAGAGGGTAGTAGATTAAAAGAATATCGAGTAGATAGTAATTTAAGTAATTGATCGTTCCTGCAATGTTATAACCAGACTTGAAATTCAAATCGAAAGATATTTTTCGCTTTCAATCGTGTCCAATCATTCGTGATCTCTTATTCAAAATTAAGGAAAATGACATATATTCTCCCTCTCTCTCTCTCTCTCTCTCTCTCTATCGAAACCCAAGACTGGCTATAACTGTCTATTGTATATTCCATGTAAATATTATGTTCTAAAGTTAAAGTTGTATACATATATAAAAATTATGTGATAATAAAGTATAATCCTTAACAATTTCATTTCTATGTTCGCTAATTTTAACGTAGTGCTGTATGGTGCACTGTGGGTAATGAGAAATAATTCCAAGACAATTGACTCTCGTTAAACACGAAAGCCACGAAATATCCAAGGGCCATGTAATTGTAGTGCCTCGTACAACATTTTAGGTTAATCAATATATATCAAGTTTCGATTTACTGAAATAGCGCGACACACCACGTTACAAAGGAATTCAAGTACCCGCAATTATCTATCGGACGATATGGCGCACGATAACGAGACAAATACACTCGAGTTGCATATAAAAGGTGAAGATGGTAAATGTCGTCGCGGTCGAAAATGGCTTTGACATTTTTTTTATGCTTTTTAGTAAACGGGCAAAATTTACCAACAATCTCGGAAAAGTATAACACCGGAACATTACGGTACGGTATACTACTATTATATTATAATCGCATTATTAAGGGGATCCTAAGGCCGTCTGTTTTATCGACATTCTTCGTTAGAAGTAATTTTTTAATTGGCTTTCTAGAAATACAAAACTCTTTTACGGAATTAAAGTACGCAGCAAAATCTAGACTATACCGGTCGACTTTATATCAAAATCCAAAAAAATTACAAATTTTACTAATTTTTGGTACACTTGAAGACAATATTTGCTTGATACAAGAATTCCACAATAAATATATACAAAAATAAGATTAATAGCCTAGAAAAAAGATTACTTCTAAGAAGAAGTAGGAAAAGAGCAGTGCAGCGTGTAGAAATAATTGCTGGCTTTTTCGGGAGAGATTTTCGCTGCCAAACATCTGTCAGATTGTCAGATTAAAGCCACGGTGTTGACAATGCTAGAATTCGATCCAAAATCTTGGTCTGCACAATGTGTAGCTAATAAAATTGCTGCTTTTTCGTAAAAGTTGCAAATTGATTGGCTATAAATTTCTCGGACCGAGTGGAACTTGGAATTAAAAATGTCGATAATTGACGTTTTTAATTCCGTCCCCTATATCTTATCGACACCGATCGAGTTCATCAGCGGCTTTAGGATCCCCTCAAGAGCGATTGGGCAAGCGTTAGGAATGTTGTCGACGTTAAATCTCACCACGTCCTCGACATTAGGATTCCATCTGATCCGTCCTGGCCGAAAATACCTCCACGTCGCTCGAGCAACAATACCGATGACATTATCGAACCTCCGTGTGTAGTCACTTTGACGGCAACTCCTAAAAAGGGTCGCGGCGCGGTGCAAACTGCTGCATGCCAGTAAGTTGTTTCACGATCACGTTGTATCGTACCGCTGCATCTTTTCGATCTACTCCTCTTTCTTTCACTCGAGACGCCTCAAGTCAAGATTGAACCAAAAGTACGAGGCGACGACGCATTCAGCGAAAAGACTGCCTGGCTGCTTTGACCCGCGCTTCAGAAGGTACCGTCTCTCGTCGTCACTTTGCTACAACTCGTGGCTTTAATGTAGTAGCTCTAAGTGTTATTTGTATCCAATGTATCTACATATAATTTGTAATACAGACAGATATCGCGACAGAAGTCTGAGAAGCCAGACGAATTGAAAGTCGAGGACAAGGACAATTTATCAGAGAAATCAACGACGAGGAGCAACAAACGGCCCAGTTTGGAAGGAAAACGATCGCGTATGACAAATGATTCCGTTTTCTGCATTTATTGTTAGCTACAATTTCCAAATTTATTTCAGCTCTCCAACTGTCAGCTAACGAACGACACGACGACGTAGACGAAAGTAGATATTCTCAACAAGAGAAACAAGTAGGCAAAGTTTCAGATGACGTTAGCATCAAACATTCGGATAATACCGGCATACCGATGTGTTTTTTGTCACTAGAAGAGCAATAAGCCACTGCTGTTAATGGTCGACGAGAAGAAGATACACGCGTTACCCATCGACACTCTGGAAGCTGCTGCTGCTGCTTCCTCTTCTTCGCCCGTGTCACTGCAGTCGTTGCAGTGTTACAGCGTTCAAATTCCCGTCGTCACCTATCGTCGTGATGTACCTTCGCAAATATCGACTACTCACACTCGAGTGGGAAAAGATATTGAAATGCTCTCGGTGTGCGAAAACGACGGTGACAAAACGAGAGAGAACATCCGTGCGAGATCGATCCACACAAATTCGACGTGTAGCTTGAACAAGCCTACGAATGAAAAATACCCACTTGATAGTGAATTAGTATTTGTAATTTACGTCCCACACAGCAGAAATGTTACATTGCAAGATTGCAATATTGCAGCAACGTTGCGCAACATTGCTGCAAGGTTTCTGGAGGATTGCAGCAACGTTGAAATGTCCGTCCTCAGAGAGATTGCAGTGCAACATTATAGCAATGTTGCAGTGCAATATTTTTGGAATAATTTGTTGTACATAAGCAGAGAATTTACTAATTACGTATGCATCCGGGCCTTTTTCAATACACAGCAAGCTATTGCGAAGCAACCTAAGGAGATTATGTCGCTTCGCAATAGATGGAGATTGCGAGCACCGCCGCACTGATCAAGTACTTAATAGTTCGCGCATTATTGGTATCAACGAAAGTAACATTATAAAATTCTCGTAATTAGAAAAATGTTTTAAATAGAAAATATAGTATTTTTATCATTTTGGAAACATTGCTGCAATATTGCTATCGAAAGTTTGCAATTTTATATCCCTGCAATGTCTCTGCAAGATTGCAATGTAACTGCAACCATCTGTGCTGTATGGGGTCGCTCGTTCGACAAGTTCGACGAGTTGCTCGGTCCCAAAGGACGATCGGAATGTTGCCTTTTTCAGGAACCGAGCAATGTCACGCCAAGAACGAGAGGCACGCTTCCGGTCGAGTGTGCGATAAGGAGAGAGTGTCGTTGAATCGAGATGCCCAAGCGTTGGACGCGGGCGACGCAAACACTGGGAGCTACGCGACTTCAAATACCGCAACAGGATTGAAAAATTGCGACGGTCAAGGCTGCGCGACGGATTGTGCATCCGCGAGGGAAATGTCTGGCGAAAGAAAGACTTTGGAGCAAAAGCTCGCGCATCGTGCGGACGATCCTTCGACGAACGCAACTTGTGGTAGAGAACATAGCCAAGGTAATGAGGAGGAGGAGAAGGAGCAAAGTGAGAGAAGGAAAAACAGAGAGCAGCTCGTTAACGTGAAACGTATAAAAACGAGCGTTAAACGAACAACGATAAACCGCGCCGATCTGTTGAGGAAGGCAAACTCGTTCCTTCGGAGAAAATCCCGTTTGGCGATTGCAGATTCCGACTGCACTCTGATACTGCCTGGTTATCGTCGCGTTAAAGGTAAACGATACGAAAAGAGCCACGGTCGCTCCAAGGTAAGTCTATCGTTGCGCGGAAGAAGCGGCGTAAACAGCGCGAATTCTATATTAGTAAAATACAATATGTCGAAGCAAAGCCGAGTAAGTTCCCGTTTGTTGGCGAATCCACGAGCGGGAGACGAGCTGGAGAAGCCATCGGCCATCCCCCTAGAGACTCAAGAGCTGTTGAGCAAAAGTTACTGGGAGTATTACTGGAAACTCGCGCGTAAGCCGGATGACCGATCTTACGTGGCGGGAGAGAGAGACGGAGGTCTCTCGAACGAGAATCGTTTACCCGAATCCCAAACGTTACGACGGTGCTCTGTACTCTCGTGCATCATCAACACGGCATTGTTCGCGAACAGGAATGAACGGAAAAGGACGAAGCGAGCGAGCAAACAGTTGCTCGGACTTCGAGCTACAGGTAACGTAACGGAAATATCTCGCTCGTCCTAGCTGAGAGAGAAAAAAAAACCGCGCACAATTTTCTAATTCTTTCTAGCGCTGCTGTGCATCGCGATGTATGTCGCGGTGATATTTCTGCCCATGGTGTACGACCATTTCTTCGAGGAATACGAGGACGAGAACGCGGGCTATATCGAACTAACGTTCCGACACGCCGCGTCGTCGTTCGGAGAAGCTCTCGATGGAGTTGTCAACGTCCTGGCCACGATTTTTTTACGACCAGCGAGATTCGATCGAAATTGACGGTAGCTATACGCGCACGTGTTTCCCATCTTTGCGAATGCTCTACATTTTTACTTGTCCTACACATATGCGAGTGTTTATACATTTGTACATTTATACATACACATCTATATATCTATATGATTGCGTCCACTTTAATTGAAACAAGGCGAGCAGAGCATGGTGCGAGAAGGATAGTAGCTTTTATTTATCAAATGGTCAGCAATGTCCATTTCTGAAAAGATGAATTGAAATTTGGATTGATGGACGTGTGAACGTTATAGAGGCCACGGGTGTCGAGCGGTGATTGAGCTCGCGTTTTAAAGCGCGAGGCGCTGTCGCGATAACATATAATAGGCTTATCCTTTGTCAAGTAGTCTGTTCTTCATCGCTGCACTCCTGAACTAGTGCACACTGGTGCAATGAGTTGGAATGAGAAGTAATCTATTAATTATTTGTTTCATTTTAACTTATTGCACTAGTTCAGTAGTGCAGTAATAAAGAACAGGCCTTATATATATAATAATGGACTGCCAGTTGGCTTCACCTGACGCTATGACGCTAGATTTTTCAGCGTCAACAGACGCTAGCGTCAAAAGAGCCTGAGCTGCTTTCGCGAGAAGATCAAAATGATCGGGATTAAAATATGCTATGATTGGTCAAATCTGGAATTTCATTGAATAAAATTTCAATGTGATGCTACGAAATTTCAGATTTGACCAATCATAGCACAGGGTCATTTTCATCCGGATCATTTTGATTTTCTCGCGACAGCAGCCCTGGTATCCAAGTTTGAGCGTCAGTGCACTACATTGCGTCGAGTTTAAGTTAGCTAATCTTAACTTGGTTTGAAGAAATGTCATTTAATCAAAGATATTACGAGTGGCAAACAAAATGTTTAAAAGTAATTTAAATTTAAAAAGAAGAGAAAAGAATAAAAAAACGTCTAATGGTATGTGTGGCAGTGATTAATGAGTTGAAAAAAATGCAGAAGAGACAATATACCAAAAAGCGTTATTGGGTTGCACCGTTATTTGAAAATAGAAAATTGCATGGTTTTTATCATGCGATATTTCCCAATATTGTTTTAGAAGACAGCACGTTTAGAAATTATTTTAGAATATCTGCTACACAGTTTGAAGATTTACTGCAAATAGTAGGATCTTCTTTGAGTAAACAGACAACTTCCTTTCGTGAGCCAATAAAAATAAAATAATTATTATATATCATCTTCGTTACTTACATCCTCTTCGCCGACCATTTTAGCACGGTACTAATAACTGGGGTCCTAAGAAAGACACTGTAAAGAACTGCGCTGTTTTAAAAGGTCCGCCCACGGACGACAAGAAACTTTGACGCTTGAAGCTGAACAAATCCAGCTTTTTTTCCCTGACGCTAGCGTCAGAATTGATAGTGAAATCGCAGCCTAAGCATCTCTGTATTCCTATATCTATGATGATTATACATACAGGGTGTCCCAATTTAATGTCCCACCCCAAATAACTTTTATTTTTGATTGCAGAAAAAAACGTTTCAGACAAAAGTTGTTTGGTTTCGAGGGGGACATAAGACGGTATCATTTATGTGACCTTGAATAGTTGCTTGAAGATCACGCGAAAGTCACCTTAAATATTTTTAACGGAACACCCTATTGTTTATTACACTATCTTATTCTACTTATTAATATGAATAACTTTAGTCTGAAACATTTTTCGATTTGTCTAATACTTTTTGACATATTCAAAAGAAAATTTTAACTTTTTCCATGTTTAGCTTATGATATTTCGATAACTGTTTGTCGGAGGGAAAAGTATAGTACAGGACTTTTTTACTTGATTTGATCTCAGGAATATGCTGTTGCAATGGTGCTCCAATTATTGAAAATTTTTGTGTATGTAAATTTTGTGTATGTTACAATACACAAAAATTTTCAATAATTGGAGCACTATTGCAACAGCATATTCCTGAGATCAAATTAAGTAAAAAAGTCCAGTACTACTTTTTCCTCCGACAAACAGTTATCGAAATATCATAAGCTAAACATGGAAAAAGTTATAAATTTTCTCTTGAATATGTCAAAAAGTATTAGACAAATCGACAAATGTTTCAGACAAAAGTTATTCATATTAATAAGTAGAATAAGATAGTGTAATAAACAATAGGGTGTTCCGTTAAAAATATTTAAAGTGACCTTCGCGTGATCTTCAAGCAACTATTCAAGGTCACATAAATGATACCGTCTTATGTCCCCCTCGAAACCAAACAACTTTTGTCTGAAACGTTTCTTTCCGCGATCAAAAATAAAAAAGTTATTTGGGGTGGGACATTAAATTGGGACACCCTGTATAGTCAAAGGGCTCATCAGCGTGCGAGCAGCACCGACTGCACCCGGCTGCACCGAGTCTCGGAGCAGTCTCGAGCGCGCACGTGCACACGTGTGCTCTTTCAGCCATCTGTAGCGATCTGTACGGCACACATCCTTTCGGAGAGGCTCGCGCGTCTCCTCTGGGTCTTTTTCGGAGTAAAGCAAGGTAGCGACTCGCGACGAGGCTTCGACGACGGGAAATTATGGCGGACTACGTGCTGGGCGATATAAAGCCGGCGGACGTGCCGCTACCGGACGACGGCTTGTCGGCTGCGCAACTATTCACCGCGGGTGACGGACTCACTTACAACGATTTCATAATATTCCCGGGCTACATCGACTTCACCGCGGACGAGGTCGATCTGCTGTCACCGCTGACGAGAAAAATCATGCTCAAGGCACCCCTCGTGTCCTCGCCCATGGACACCGTTACCGAGTCCGACATGGCTATAGCGATGGCCCTGTCCGGTGGGATCGGCATCATTCATCACAATTGCATCCCCGAGTATCAGGCGAACGAAGTGCACAAGGTAACGTTACAACAAGGGTTGATGGTCGGAGGGTGGAACGTATATCAGCGATTGTTTACAGGTGAAAAAGTACAAGCACGGCTTCATCAGGGATCCAGTGGTGTTGGCGCCACATCACACGGTCAACGACGTTCTAAACGTCAAGGCTGAGCACGGCTTCAGCGGAGTACCCGTGACGGACACGGGCAAGGTCGGCGGCAAGCTGCTAGGTATCGTCACCTCCAGAGACATTGACTTCCTCGAACGTTTGCCCAATTATCAGCGTAAATCGCTGAGCTCTATCATGACCACTCTCGAGGACCTCATCACCGCGCCGGCCGGCGTCACGTTGCAAGAGGCGAATGTCATTTTGGAAAAGTCCAAGAAGGGAAAGCTGCCCATTGTCAACGAACGGGGGGAACTCGTCTCCCTGATGGCGAGGACCGACTTGAAGAAGAACCGTAGCTACCCGAACGCCAGCAAGGACGAGAACAAACAGCTGCTGGTGGGGGCGGCGATAGGGACGCGGGAGGCGGACAAGCACCGGCTGGAGCTGCTCGTGGCCGCCGGCGTGGACGTAGTGGTGTTGGACTCGTCGCAGGGCAACTCGATGTACCAGGTCGACATGATCAAGTACGTGAAGTCGCAGTTCCCAAACTTACAAGTGATCGCCGGCAACGTCGTCACCACGATGCAGGCCAAGAGCCTCATAGAGGCGGGAGCGGACGCGCTGCGCGTCGGGATGGGCTCCGGGTCGATCTGCATCACGCAGGAGGTGATGGCCGTCGGCCGGCCGCAGGCCACCGCCGTTTATAAGGTTTCCGAGTACGCGAGGAAGTTTGGAATACCCGTGATAGCGGACGGTGGGATTCAGTCTATCGGGCATATCATCAAGGGTCTCAGTCTGGGCGCCAGCACAGTTATGATGGGCTCCCTGCTCGCCGGTACGTCCGAGGCTCCGGGCGAGTATTTCTTCAGCGACGGAGTCCGGCTGAAAAAGTACAGGGGAATGGGCTCGCTCGAGGCCATGGACAGGAAGGACGCCAAGGGCTCGGCGATGGACAGATACTTTCACAACGAGATGGACAAGATGAAGGTGGCCCAAGGTGTCAGTGGCTCGATAGTGGACAAGGGCTCGGTCCTCAAATTTCTCCCCTATCTCACTTGCGGCATCAAGCACGGCTGTCAGGACATTGGCGCTAGGTCGCTCACCGCCCTGCGTTCTATGATGTATTGCGGGGAATTGAAGTTTGAGAGGAGAACACACTCGGCTCAGCAGGAGGGCAACGTACACAGCTTGTTCTCCTACGAGAAGAGGCTCTATTAATTCTGCTTATCTCGTTACGCGGAATTGGTACCTGTTACAAGTCTATTTACCTCGGAGCTGCTCTCGTCGACGTTACACTTGATCGATTTTACGTACATTTTATATGTTCACAAGGAGCGATATTAAGATCGAGTGTGTTGGCGCAGCAGATCATTTAGCCGCAAAAAAATGATATTAGCGTCACGCCGAAACAGGCCGCTCTTCGCTGTTCTTCGAATTCTCTTTTACAATCTTTGTTGAAAATTCTACGTGCAGTGCCGGTTTTAGCAACATTCGCGCCCTGAGCAAGATTATCGTGGCGCCCATTCAAATTCAAGGGCTCGAAATTCTTGCGAAAGAAAAGACAGGGTAATAATATCGAACGACGAACCCCATTTTGTTTTTATATTTCAGGGAATCTCTCTCTCTCGCTCTCAAACTAGGTGAAACCAGGCAGCGGCGCCCCTACAGATTTGGCGCCCTGGGCGACCGCGCCCCGCCCTAACGCCGGTACTGACTACGTGTAACTTGACAGAATAGAACGCTATTAAACCCCGAAGAAAATACTGAGATCTCTCCCTTGCCCAGTATCAACTTGCGGCGACATCCGGCGATATATTTTATACAGTATTCTTGTATAATAAACTGTATATCTCGAATAAATGGACCAACTTGATGTATTATAAGCATGATTATCTGTGTTTCTGTTTCTCTCTCTCGCGCGCGCGCGCGCGCCTACTCGTAGCTTAGCTTATGACGTCATCGATTTTGTACCGAAGGACCGAAAATAAAGATAGAGGTTAGGTAGGTTAAGATGGAGAAGCACGTGAAAAACGCTCGAGAGACAAATTGGAAGGAATTGAGCGAAGCCGAGAGCGTCGAAAGATGCAAGAATTGTGGCAGAGCATGCGACTGTTACGACAAGCCAGCGTTGCGTTGCAGCGGTGGATGCGGCCAAAGTATACACACGGCGTGCTTGGAGAGAGGCAGCGTCCCGGCCTCTTTCGTGGGAGATGTCTTCTTCGAGCTCAACTGTGCCTCCTGCAGTCCGCTGGCCGAGGAAACGGTGGTGCGCGACAAAATGCCGTGGCTCAACGTCATCATTTTGACGCTTTACAACCTACGTGAAAAATCCAACGGCATCAGCAAAAGGGGATACTTTCATTGGAAGTCCGACATCGGCACTTTTATCGATAGAAATTGGGATTACTTGTTCAAGAAGACTGTGTAAGTACATTACGCCCCGTCTAGAGATCCCTTACGTATGTCAGTTGACGTTACCTGCTTCCTCCTCTTTCAGGAAAAGGAAGAAGAATTGGATCGGCACCATATCCGGTACGTTGTCCCATTACAGCGGCATCTTCTTCAAGTCCGGCACCGGTGAATTGGGAGAGTCCGGATGGTGGAAACTATTGGACAGCGATCCTCCCGAAATTCTCATCGCCAAAAGTATGACCTAATGTATATTACGTAACGAAAGAAGAGTCCGCTTATTGTCGCCAGTAATGATTAAGGATTGAGACGGGAAACTTGTAGTCAACCCAACTGGCTAGTTATTTAATTAGTTTATTACACAACGTTTCGACCCTATTCTTTTGGCTCCTTTTCGAGCGATACCAAGTCAGAAAGAACTTGTGTTTTTTGTAATACGGGATGGGATAGTCTTGAGCATTATATAAAGGAATGGAGTATGACGTCACACTGGTTCAAGAAATTAGGAAAAAACAATAAAGAAATAAGGGATAAGATACGGAGTGACGAATTAGTAAGGAAAAGGGGAACACTATTAGGAAGGTATGGATAGAAAGAGAATGCAGGTTGTGAAGTTTAAAAAAAGAAGAGAAGAGAGTACAGAAGGAAGGAGGGAAAGAAATGTAAATAATAAATAAGCAATATAAACTAGTCACGATACGTAAAGAAGAAATAGGGAGGAATAGAATAAGTATGCAGGAGTGAATGAGTTAAGAACTATTGTAAACCAAGTCCACTTCTTGGCTGTAAGCTGAAGTAAAATAAACTATATATACAGGGGTGGGGCGTTTATCTTGAGACAATAATATTTCTCGGTTGGAATGGATTATTTCGAAAAAAGTTTCAGACAAAAGTTGCTTGGTTTCGAGGGGGCCATAAGATGGTACCATTGGTTTAACCTTGAAGAATTATTTGAAGGTCACATAAAGGTCACACCAATTTTTTTAAACGGCGTCCCTTATTTTTCATTACATATTCTTGTAGCTGACCTTGAGAGCTTTCCAAAACGCTATAATAAAATATTTTTTTATTAAGAACTTTTTGAGTTATTAAGGTTTGAAAGTTCCAATATTTTGACATAAATTACAAAATATTTTTTTAAATGGCGTCCCTTATTTTTTATTACATATTCTTGTAGCTGACCTCGAGAGCTTTCCAAAACGCTATAATAAATTATTTTTTTATTAAGAACTTTTTGAGTTAT